AGTCAACACCAGGCCTTCCTTCCTTTTATCCTATGAGCAATCCTGACCACTTCAATACTTTCCGAATCCGCTTTCCTTGAAAATTTGAGAAGAGCGATAAAAAATACCCGGCTGCCTCAACGATGTAGGGAAACATTATCTTTGTTAGTCAAGCTTGAATTGAAATAAACTTACTTAATCATCTCACCTTATCTTTTTGCCTAGTTTTACGGTATCACCGTAATCGATCAAATAAATCCGGGTGTTCAAATTGCCGGCGCCGAGCAGAGATTGCCGGTAGTTTTTAATGTCACGGATGTACATAATCGCATGCCGGTGGAGTATAGCGAAATTTCGCATCCCAAACTTACAACGAGAGAAATGAGCTAACTGACTCCAAAAAAGTAGAATCAGCAAACTTTCTTGAGTTTACAATCGTGGATTGAGAGAAAGCGGTAGGTTGAAGCATCCCTGTTGCTAAGCTTCAATTGAAACTCGTATTTCCGGCTGATACCTGTGCAATTTTTGACATGCTCCCAATGCAGAACTCACCACACAAGAATAGTGATGGGAAACCAACACCTCTAATACGAGGGTCCTCGGAACACCCGCATCTCTTCACCGCACCTTGTCCCTACGATTTATTTGGTAGAAGTGCTCTGCCACGTAGACCGCGCACGGGACCACCGCTGATCACCTCAGAAAGTCGCCGTATAGCTAGCATGCTGCTAGAGCTCTCCTAGGCCTAGCGGTCAACTGGCTAACCGTGGGCTAACACGCTCATGACCTGTTAATACGCATGGGCGCGATAAGGCTGTGATAGTCACACCCATCAAAAGCAACAAGGAAATCGGGGCAAGTGGTCTACTGGACAGTGTGTGACAGTGTCAACTTGTGCGAAAACGCGAAGAGCATAGTGGGTCTCGTTGACCTCCGCGTGGGAAAGGTTTTGCTTGAAACACGCGTTGTGTGTTCATGAGTTTCGGGTATCGAAGTTCTGTTCCAGAGGTATCAATTAAAATCCTGGACTTCAACAAGAAACAGATGCAATCAGCAGTATTACACTGGGTGCAGCATCGTACTCGGAACATCATCACAACTAATCCCCTAAACTTAACCACTGGTAATTGATTACCCGTGTGAATTGCGTGCCTGACCTACAACAGGAAAAGGTGCCTCACAAAAATTGACATCTCTCTCATCACTACAATGGGAATTAAAATGAATGCAGGTTTGATTCCGATAGAGAGGCAAAGCACTCATTACCATCTCAAAAGCTTATTCAATTTCGGCGCTAGTCGTAAGATAACGAGACCCAGCTCTTAGACTAATGCTAGAAATTGGGAACTACCAGTAAAACGATTAAACATGCTACACATCTCTCCCCACCTAGGCTCAGTATCGTCTTCAGCAAAAGGGAGATCCGTCCACGCCGGTCTCCGCCTCAAAGCATTGCCACCGCCGCACTAAAGCCCCCGTTCGCACGGTATCAGGAAGTGAATGTCAACTAATATACGCTAGATGTGGCTTTGATCCGGTGAACGCTGATCCAATAATCTACCTTCCAAAGCCAGCTAACCGTTTCTTGAAAGAGTTATCCTTCTATTTTATAAAGCGCTAACTTTGTGTGTCGGTTTGTGTATCTGTATGTGTGTGTATGTATGTATGTGTGTCCGTCCGCAAAATGAAGTGAGTGAGAAGGAAGCTCATGGGATAAACAAACCGCTAACAAATCGGGTAGCTTACAGGATTTGAGATATCAATGTTTTGTAGCAGGATAGTTGTGATAACACTCTTAGGGCTATATAAACACCTGCTTAGCACACTTCCGTTCATTCCACATGGTGCTGCAGTGGCAGCTGGAGGGCAGTGGAGAGAGGAAGGGAGGATGAAAGCGAAAAATTAACGAGAAAAGGGATGAAAGGGAAGCGAAAAATCTACCGTCATATCATGATTGTGTCCCTTCTACTGTTTGAAACACCATTGTGTTGCATACGCGTCACTTCCACGAGGTGTTGGTGTCACAGGAGGAAGGGACCATAGCGGAGGATAGAAAGCTTGCGCAGGAAAGGAAGGTCCCGGCGGTTGACGGGGGACTAATCTGGTGAAAAATAGTGGAATATAGTGATACGGGTTTCGCAGTCCACCGACTGCAAATCCCGACCAATGCCGTTGCGCTGTTTTGCTTCATAACTCCATTCAGAAGAATCGTTTAGCAGATTCTGGTAAGGTAGATTCGAGATCAGCGCTTTCAAAGGCACATCTAGCGGTATACATCCCTTTTTGAATGGCCATGGCGACACCTGTAAGCCCCTTCTACCTTGTTAGTTGTTTCACTAAGCGTTCCACCGCTGAGAAGTGCTCTCCAAATTACTGTGTTTATGTAGAGTAAAGGAATTGCGTGAATCGGCATGGCAGCTAAGTCTAGCACCCCCGATTCAATACATTAACAAGGACCAAACCGCTATCTGCCCCCAAAGCCTCAATGCAGCAACATAAATAACAACTCGTGCTGTCTTGAGCACCGCAGTTTGCTCACGGAGTTTTTCAAGATTACGATCGAGAAGATTCATCACTGAAAGATCGAGCAGTGAGCTTGATAACGATGCCAAGAATTAAAATCACTCTATTCTACTATTGTATGCACGTGGACAAAAGAATTATTGTCTTCTCGAAAACCTTTCAAGGTTATGTTTCTATACCAGCCTTCATTCCTTGGACGCGGCTGTCAACTACATGTTCGTGAAGCCGGCAGGTTCCGCGATAGGAGCTAGGTCGAGATTGTTTCCCATATAAGCCAGGATATAAGTTTCCCCAACGCGAGGTCAAATTAATTTGCTGATGGGCGTAAGCGAAATCCTCGTACCCAGAACAGGAGATTTATTGTAGATTACTTGCACCATAACCCGCCCGTTGGCTGCCAATCCCCTTGTTACGATACAATCGTCAAATGCATAGAATGTGTCCTAGCAGCGGCCAACGATACCATTCAATCACTAACTTTCGAGCGAGAGGTTATACTGGCGATTGGGCAGGGGCCCGGGGCGGCAGCCTGATTCGGGGCTTGACCAAGGTTAACCGTCTCGCAGAAGTTCTGGACAACCAGATTCAAGTGTAATTTGAGGGTTTGTCCCTTTCGTGGAGAACGCGATTTTTTATCGCTTGTTTTTTTTTGGCCGATTTTTTTTTGAAAAATAGGCAAAATTAGAGGAACCTCGTCCGTTTCGTGGAAAGCGAATTTAGCCCCTTCCTCCGACCGGCGGTTTTTGGAGGGAAGGAGCGGGTTGGGGTGTCAACCCCCGTCTCAGACCATCAATACTATAGAAAGAAACAACAATAATGATGGTTGGAGATGGGGGGACCTATCCAGAGCATATGACAACAGTCCTTAAATTTTATGAAAAATGCAAATGGGCAACAGGTAAATCCTGCCTTGAACAGGCTAATTTAAAGTAACCGTGAATATGACTCTGTGAAAAATCCATATTTAATGCAGACAGCTAAATTCTTGGGAAGTTGTGTGGCTGTTGAAAGGCTGCTCCCATGATCGCGCCAATGACCTCTATTCAAGCTTCAGAAAAAATGATTATTTGCTTGATATTCGCACCTCTAAATCGTTGTAAATTGTCTAGTAGTAAAGCTAAGCTGTCACCTATGAAGGGCAAATCCGCTACGCGTCCACTGTCGAGAACAATAGGGCTGTATGGGCACTTGTTCTTCTTCAGTTCATTGAGCGGATGTCGTATCTGCGCTGCAAAAAGGTCTCGAATCATGTTGTCGCTTCCATCACACCGACGCCTCTCGCCGAGTAATGGAAAATTAATACAATAGACTTCTTCTCAAAAATTAAATAAGCTTGACAGACCTTACATTCGTAAGGTAATCGTTCACGCTAATTATGGCCGTAATGGCGACTCAGTGGTTTTTCATTGCGAAGAAACGTATATCCTTTTCCACCGCCTTTGCCGTTGCTTAAATACTACTTGATAAATCTGAATTAATACTGTACTTTATTTAATTATTATTATGCATTAAATATAAAATGTGGTTAGCGGGAGCGGAGCAGGTGGGCGGGAGCCAAGTTGGCTTTCCCCGTTAGGACCGCTCAGTAACTTAAAGGCAAAAGTCAGGCTCGTGTTTGGGCATTATGGCGCCTGAAATTGAGTGTAGAGATGGGAGGTGGAACGACAGTGAAGAAAAAACGCAAAGAAACCGTCGACAAGACCGAAATCGAAACCCCTTCCCTTCTAGCAGTGAAGGAGGCTTGCTCGGGGGAGAGCCACGTCCAAACGAGTTTTCCGGATATGCCAGCCGTTCCATCGGTTGATACGGCAATCAACCTAGCTGATCTCACACGTTAGGCCAGCCACGCACCACATCCCGCGGTGGGCGGGACCAGCTGATGTAACGAACCCATCGCTGTAAGTAGTAGGCCAGAAGCCTTGACGGCGCGCAATCTCGAGTCAGGAGTGTGGCATCACCCCTCTGAGCGCATTCCTGGAAATATTAGTGATGGAAAGGCCTTCTAGGGTTACCTAATCCTGACTCGTGGCTTTAAAGAAGCTTCCCATGGAACTGGCGGCTCATAGTAGAACGGAGAGAGGGGAGAGAGGAGATACGTATAAACAAGGGCATTTTGAAATTGCTGTATGTGACATAGCCGCGGAACAAGCCCAGGAGATACGGAACGCCAGAGAGAACAAGACTTTTGCTCATGCACTACACCCCCCCCTTCTACCACCACAACCAAAGTCCGCCATTCAAGTAATGAAGTGCTCACAGATCACTTCATGTGCCTCGCGCTCATGGGGCTCGACAATAAAGTGATGAAGCTAAGAAAAAAGACACTACACGTACGATTAGGCGAAGGGCTAACCAAGAAACTTTTATCACGGGAGCTGCCGATCGTCCAAATCCCTGATCATATTTCACCCAGGCCAAGAAAAGCTTCCGTGCGTTCGAGCTTGGTTTATTGGTACTGTAAATCGTTTTCTGTGATAATACCTCACTTAGCAACAACCTTGTCGAGAGATGAGATAGAGGGCTGTGTATCGTCCTTCGTTGTATTTCAGCTGCACCTCGTAGCGATTGAATCTACGATCTTCTTCATCGAGACTGGAAAAATTTGAATGCACAAGAATCGGTGGTAGGCTCAGACCTGCCTGAACAGTTATCGTGCTTATTAACTCCCAGCCCTCATGTCGTAATTTAGTCCGTCTCTCTCTTATATCTCCTACGACCCTGATATCAGTCATTAGCGGGCCTTTTTTGCATCCTAAAAATTAATCGTTCAAAGGTCTTATTGAATGGTACACAAACTTTTCTTTTGCTAATCTGCAATTTATATTTATGTCTAACTTCCGCTCTATACTTTTTACCACTCTCATCCCTCTCTTACGTCCTTTTTGTTTTGCCATAAAACATGAACATTACGAAAAGGGCCCATTATCGGTGCTGAGACTCGATGAGATGGTGGCGGTCCGCTAGTCCGACGGTCACCCTGCCAACACTGGACCTATCATCACACTTCGTTTTTTGTGGTATGATGCCGTAGACGTTGAAGTGGGTAATGACAAACTCACTTGTCATCAGTAATTATTAAGTCGCCTGTTTGTAGATCACTTTTCCCTCTGATAAACATATCCATAAGCGCGGCTTCTTCTCTCTAAAAAAAATGGCAGCGTTAATTTTAATCACATTGCAGTGTTTGCGACAGATCCCAGTCAGATTATACTATATTTTAGCATTAAGACTCGAGAGGGCGGAAGTGGTGTAGTGACAAGTGGCGCGCTTACCACGCGAGCGGTCCGGGATCAAATCCTGGGTCGTGAGTCGCCCGGGCCAACCAAGCCTTCCATCCCTCCGGGGTCGGTTAATTGGTACCAGACTTGTCTGGGAGGATAAAAACACTGACTTGTACATCGGCTGGCCCCCGCAAGTCATTGTATAGGCCGCAAGTCATTGTATAGGCCACATCGCATTCAAACGCCACTACGAATGTACAAATGGAAGTAGAATGCGTGCCGCATCCCAAAAAGGGATTGATCAACGGCAAATGCTTTATCCTTTTTAGACTCAATCCGTTCTTGGCATTGTACCATGCTTGAGATCGCTCCAGGGTGCAACCGCAATATTCGGGGGCATCCTCCGAGACTGAGCCCAGGAACTCTGGGAAAACTGGAAATTGCTTACGCACCTTGGAGTGTTGGCACACCTGAGGCTTAGTTTCGTTCTTTCCTTTGAACTAACTCCCGCTCCTGCTTATCATTAGACATGGGAACATGGATGGCAGTTGTGCCCTCGCTAACCCATGCTCACTCTGGGACTCCGATTTTCCCAGCCGGCGTCAGTTTTCCTTTTCAGCATATGCTACCAGTCTACTGCCGGAGCTTACTTTCAGGCTCGACCTTACCACTTTGAGGAGTAGCGCCAATTCGCTAGGTGTTGTCTCAGGTAGGTGTGTAATCACAATCACAGATTAACCCAGGGAGCCAGGAATGCTTCCCACTTCTGTTAGCGGTCGGTCCACCGATATCCTTATCCCAATTGGCTTACAGTCAGAAAAAGGCGATCTGCCGGCGAACCGACACACCACCCTTCGTGATATGGTGATAAAGAATGCAGATCTCACCTCTAAATTGAGTTTCCCTTCATTTCCAGCTAAGTCTGGTCGTTCTTCTTCTAAAATCCGGGTGCTATACCATGGTGGATGCTTACGCGGTCTCACTGTAGCTCCAGGCAATATCTAAAAGCTAAATTGAAGAGAACCTCTGGAAACATATTCGGCAGTACTGACCTGTTGCCTTTTCTGCGAGAATACTGGTAGAACGTTCTGTTTGGTCTTTTCAGATACTGTAGAACCCGAATCCGTGTCTGATAAATCTGACTGCAAAGAAAGAATACAAAACATCGAAGGCTTTGGTATCCTTCGTATTCATTAGTACAAATGACAATTCACTTACATCATCCTGGAATCTCCCCGATTTCTTCTTTTTCTGGAATGAGGACGATGAAAAGGATTCCGCGCAATAGCTGACGAAATTTGTATGAGGGGAAGGCGTTTCAGTGCGCTCACAGTTGCTATAGTGAAGGGCTAGGGGCACCTGCTGTCGTTGGTGAAGGCATCGCTGTGCGCACTGAGCTCGAGAGTAGGGGGAGTAGGGGAGGAACTTCGAGATAAACGATTGCTTGGGCACCTCTCTCCTAGTCGAGCTCCCTGAAACTTACCCCCAGGGGGATTAGTTAGGGGATGTCAGCCGTATGTATGGGCCTGCATAGCGGTGTCCCACCCCACAATAGTAGTGCTGGAGCAGGGACCGTTATGGCTCATAGCAGTTCCACAGGCGCTGAGAAAGCATTGAAAGACGTACTCCCATGACGGCAGGCTCAAAGACAGCTACGAGGAAAATGAGAAGCACTCAACAGGCAGAAACTTCCACTCCTAGGTAAACAAGTTTGGATAAGCGCTGATCGAGCTGTGTTGGAATTACTCGCCACGTATTCACTCACCGAAAATAGGAGAAACGGAAAGTTTGTGGGGTCGAAGATTGCATACTATATCGCAAAATCAAGAGAAATAATGGGTGAAAAGCGAGATTTTTAGTGAGTTCTAAGTGATATCTGGGTGGCTCCAGAGCTCCATTGGGACCTAAATTGTATGACATCGTGACACCAAAAGCTTCATTTTAAAAGAACCCCAAGAGTCCAAAAACGAAGAGCAATTTAAAAAGAACTTCTTTTAAACGAACCTTTCCGGCGATATTTTGAGGAATCCTAAATACGTAACCGAACCTTTTTGGTTACATGCGAATTGTCACCTCATAGAAAGGATAATGCCTACCACCCTGGTACGGGTAACACGCCGAATATGAGTGGACCTGAAGTCGTTTCAGATCAGTGGCGGAGATAGATTTAGAATAAAATAAGTTCCTTCAAAGCTACCATAACAGAACACCCTTAGAGTTTCGCCCAGAGTATCGCAGAAAAGGACTTCTCATGCCTTCTCAACACTTCCCGTAAACAACTTCTGTTTTTGCACATTCTTGTGCAAAAAATTGGAACGTGTTCAAAATCTGCATGCATTTTGATCTTTGAGTAATGTAAATATCCAATTATTTGCAAATCAAAGAGATGTAGTCAACATGAAGTTTATTGCAAATCTAGAGTGACTCAGCTAACGTCCTAATCTATGAATTCTTTTAAAAACCTCTTGAAGTCTCTCAATCTCGCATTTCCGTTCTTTCGGATAAGAATTGGAGATAATCTAGAAAAAATATGTATTTTATGGTCAGCTGAGAGAAGTCCGCAAACAGACGAGGTCAAAGGCGATTGCCGTCGCTGTGTGGGCGATTCCGAAATGAATCAGATTTCGTTTGCTCAGCCGAGGTCAAAAATTCATCACGATAAATAAGGTATTGTCCCTTATCGGGGAAACTAACAGGCGCTTGTCATTAAGCGCATCTGTGTACACGAATGCCGAGTAACCATATAAACTCGCCTACTTCCTAGTTGCGGCGTTATTCATAAGTTCTAATCACATTCAGTTCATCACTTCATGCAGAGGAGTTTATTTCGAGTTGGAAGCAGGTCTTCGAAGCAGTCACCGAGCCGCTCTTCTTCTATACAATAATCACATC